TTTATTTCTCCTAACCCATACAAAAGTATTTCAATATGGCCAAAGAGACACTTTGAGAAACATGATTCAGAATGAGCTATCATATATATCTTCACATTTCTAATTTTGGACTCAGCAGAAAGACAAAAACTAGTCAACAAGCACCATTTGGCACTATTGATATGTACAGTGTAAAAATGCTATATTCTCCTGGCTCTCTATCATCATGGTTTTCATTAGCACTTACTGGAGAGAAAGAAATCATCACGGAATAAGTGGGTGGCAGACAGGTTCTCTGATTCATAAGCTCACAAATATATTTTTTAATTTTGGTATACTGCAAATCATGTTTTACTAAAATTGAACAGAGTATATGGAATGGATACATTTGCTGAACCAAAGGTAAACTATGAAATAAAAGGGAATTAGATTCCACCTGGAATGTTAGAACATTTTGCAGTTATCTATTTTGATCTGATCAGGAAGCATCTGACAAAAATAAAAGGCTGGCTTTTAGCCTCTCCAACTCCCAAAGCTCAAGTTAAAAGCCTTATAAAGTGATGTTAAATAAATTTGTAATTTTCATTCATATTAAGCTTTTCTTTTTCCCACCATAGACTTTCCTCTCCATTTCCCCTTTACTCCAAGTTCAAATGTTTAACAACACCCAGTTTCTCCACAGGTAAAGACAACAATGCCATTCTGTTATATATGTGAACTTACAAGACCCTTCAGAATGGATCAGTGAGCTATTATGATTCTCAAGTTTCTGTCCCTATCTCTAGGTCTTCCAAAGAAAACTCAGAGTAGCTGAATATACCAGTATTAATTACTGTAATAATAGGAAGTTTCAAAGTTTAGAATCTGGGTTTAGCTGACTTACAGGTGAGACCTGGACAGAGCATGGTGGGACAAGCTTGTAATCTCAGTTATTCAAGAGGTTGAGGCAGAAGGATCAGAAGTTCAAGGTCAGCCTGGACAATTAGGGAGGCCCAGTCTTAAAAGAAAAGGAAAGGAAAAAGGGCTGGACTTAGCTCAGTGGTAAAGCACCCCAAGTGGTAAAGTCAATCTTCATTACTTCCCCGCAAAAAAGAAAGGATGATAGTTAAAACGGCCATTCACCAGCCATTTTAGGTGGAGCAGCTGTTTTGGAGCTAGGGGTCCCGTGGTTCTATAACTCCTAACTCTCCATCATGGCTAAATATGCATTTTAAAAAATCCATCAACATTGAAAAGTAATTACTAGATTCAATCTATTAGAATATCACACATTAGTCTTTCTCTGAACAATAAGGCTAAGGCAGGAGGATCACAAGTTTGAAGCCAACCTGGGTAATTTATTCTGTCCCAAAATAAATAGTGAAAAGGGCTAAGGATATGAGGTGCTCAGTACTAGAGCACCTCAGAGGGTTCAAGCCCAAGAACTGAAAAAAATATTATTACTATGATTAAGATTAATACTCTCTAAATTAATATTTATTAGACTTGCTTTCGTGGGTTCAGTTAAAAGGGATTTTTTTCGGGGGAGAGATTTATAATAATAGCTAATATCTATTGAACTCTCACTGTCCTGCTAAGGCTTAGAAAAAATCTGGGATCCTGGCACATGAAAGAAGATGCGAGGCACAGTTGGGATAGTGGCCAGGCTTTCTTCAGAGGCAGCAGCAAGGCCTCCTGACCCCCAAGTCTTCCCAAAGGCTTTTCTTTTTTTTTTTTTTCTATTTCAAAAATAGCATTTTATGGGGGCTGAGGTTGTGGCTCAGAGGTAGAGTGCTTGCACTGGGTTCGATCCTCAGCACCACATAAAAATAAAATAAAGGTATTGTGTCCACCTGCAACTAAAAAATAAATATTTAAAAAAATAGCATTTTATTTACAAAGGATAATACACATAGGCATTTGGTCTTCAATTTGATAAATTGACCTATTTTTAAAATAAAGACTCCATAAAATTCAGAGATGCACATTTTTAAATCTTTTTTTAAAAATATTTTTTCAGTTGTAGATGGATACAATATCTTTATTTATTTTTATGTGGTGCTGAAGATCAAACCTAGTGCCTCCATGTGCAAGGCAAACGCTCTACCACTGAACTACAGCTTCAGCCTCACATTTTTTGATCTTTAAGCAGTAAGTTGAAGTGTTTGTAAGGTTAGAGGAAATTCAGAGGCCTAACAGAAATAGGAGTAATTATTAAATTTACGTTCAAGAAATTACTTACGTTTACACGGAAGTAAATGTAATCTAGCAAGGGTCTCAATATCAAATGTGTTTCTTTTTAGGTTATATATGTTGAAATATTGAATTTACAATGTATTTGTGTGAACTCTGGGGAAGCTAAGCACCATGAGACTCTTTCCCTGTGTGAATCACCTCCCTGTAAACCTGCAGGCCTGTTAAAGAGGATCCCTCAGACTGAACCCAGACAGTTGCCCTTGGTCCTGTAACCATGCTCCATAGGCCTTTTTTATGTGCAGACCAAAGAAGGCACAATGCCAACAGAATATATAAATGAGCGCAGGCTCACAAGCAGTATTTATGACCTCAAGTACATAGGCTAAATCAGAGTGTTTATGACCTTGATTACATACTAAAAACATAGCTGACTAGAAGTCTTGGTGAGGGAGTCTAACTATAGCCATCTTGGGTCTGCCCTATGCTCACCTTATGTCCAATAAAATTCAAAGTGCTTTAAGTGTATTTATTATTTTAAGTTTCTCAACACACCTTTCATGTTTGATGGACGAGGAAGCTGAGATAGAACATTTAAGT